TTTTTTTTTTTTTTTTTTTTTTACATTTCTAAGCGCTGTAATTTACGGTACTAATGAGTCGTTTTTAGCTCTAGGAACAACTTTCCTTGTCATTCGTGTGGACTACGTGCAACCAAGAACTTATTTCATTGAGCATTGCAATTTACTATGTTCTCCAGGGAGTTATCCTTTTATTAGAAATTAGACCTCAAACTTGAGTCTTCTACATATGGTCAGCTAATAAATCTTTTAGAACTTGAATCGTCCAATTCAGAGTGTAATCATGGTTGTAATTTCAAATCGGCGTGGCGCTGGGCGTTCGTTCGATCTTGAAATTACTCGCGCGATTACTCCCTGAAATTGAACTTCACTTGGTCGAATTACTCTTACTAATCACGTTTCTTGGTATTTACAGGACTCCAAATCAACAAGAGTGCTTTTTCTTGAAAAGTTTAGAAAATTCCTTCAGGAAAATATGATGACCATTGCGGTAAGATACACATAGTTCTCTTTTTTGAATTACATTTTCCTTAGCCACTTCTCCGTTCTCGGCTTTCATTACTTTATCATCACTCCAACTGGAACCATCAGCTATGTAATATTCCAAAAATGAGCTCTCATCTCGAACGTTGTGCGTTTTTTTTTTTCCTGCAAGCTGTCAAATATCACTTAGAACTACAAAGATCCGACTGGATTCTGCCACTGGCTTATTTTTCAAATCGAATCTCGGTCTAATCTCAGCTTCAGCCTTCTTGTGGGCGAAGACCACAAGAGCTCTAGGAACGGGTTTAATCTCGGAGGGCTTTCTTTCTCCCTGGAATATGGAGACGTTAGTTTTCCTGGCACTGTATTCTGACTGCATTCTTTCCGCACAGCTTCAGCCGTCCAGCGCATGCGCAGGACCAGTGATCACGTGTTTCTACCACAGATTGGTGCAAGCAGTCCGCTGGCATTGGGAGCAGTGGGTTCATGAAAACAAATCTCCAATCAAAAGTAAAGGTATGTGTGAACCTGGAACCAATTTGTCAAAAACATAATTGCATGCGTTTGTTTACATCATGTCACCTTTCCTTGTGTTGATATTCTTCAACCACAACTGGATAAAGATTTCAATTAGGTGAACCATTAGTTAAATCGATAAATTGAGCGCATGTTGCAACCAAGGTAAAGCATATTAAGACGGATTCTGCTCAAAGTTCGCGCAATAAGTGCAAAAATTATTCACTAAAAATCTACTCATAGCACGGTAACTTTGCATACCTTTTAACACAACTCACTTTAGTTCATTCCTCTAAGTGACCCCGTGATTAAATTCTCAAGCATTCTCGAGAAGGTTGATGTCAAACCTCGTAAGGATGCTTAAAGCGTTTGTTATTGTGTTTTAACTAACGCGAAACGTCTGTTTTAATTGAAATATGGATAACTTTAAGTTCAATTTTCTCTCGCGGGGTCTCGATAAGTTCCTTTTAGTTGTATTCAAAATATTGCCATGCCATGAGATTTAACTTAATTATTGCCATTATTGCTCGAATGTTCTGTGGAAATCCTTGTAATTTTTTTTTTTCTATCTGCTCAGCTTTCTTTAGTACTTTTTTCTTTTTGCTTAATTAAGTTAATTGTTTTATATGCTGTGTTTTTTCTTTTCTTGTAAATGTGGCAAAATAAAATGGTTGGTTGGTTGGTTGTTGGTTGTTGCCAACATTTCGTCAATACCCATTCAAACAACAGGCTGGGATTGTCTGGATGGGGTTACCTGACAACTGACAAACACCGGAAAATTTCACTTACAACAGGCATTTGCTGTCAGATTTACTTACAACAAACCAAAGGGTTTAGCCCTTGATATTCGTTTGATATTCATTGCAATATTATTACTTTAAGTCTGTAAATATTAATCATTAACAATTGGATCCTCATACTGTCTGTTACACGATCACCCATTGAAGGCCACGCGCTTCAGCTAGGCCACAGAGAAAATCGGCATGTCAGCTGTTATTTTATATTCCCGGGATTTTCGTTTGAGTGGTTCGCTTTTCAAAAATTCAACAACTTCTCGAAACCTATCTGGGAAATTTTCTTGCCCGGCATTTGTCACCGTTTTGAAATTTTCGGAATTTTTGGTTGAATTGAAAGTATCCTAGGAGAGATTATAGGTCTTCAAACAACCTAATGAAACCTTTCTCGTTCTCTCCGTTCTGTGGTTGTCAGTTAAGCTCTAATTATTTATTTGTCTGGTTTGCTTTGTTTGGGTTCAGATGCTTACGTCCCCAACCACATTTTCCTCGACGACAAAGTTCACTTTTGGGACCTTCCAAGGTAACGTCATACACTAGATAGATAATTCCAATAAACCAGAGTTTGCAAAGCTGCTAATGTAACCGTTTTGGTAGCTTTGCGCTATTAAAAATATTTACTCTAGTTGTGTTGATGTAAACATTATTGACTTAGTTCTTCTTAGTTTAGAATACTAAGGGGAGGAAACTTGCCGGGATTTTAAATTTGCTATATTCGTACTCAATCCTCCGTAAGAAAAAATTTGGTTCATTATTTTCAGATTTCCTTCAACTTAAATGTAATTTTGTACGTGGCCAAAATAGCTCAAAATACCGCGACTGAGCTCCTTTAAGACGCGTGAAAATAAACACGAATAAGTTATATCGAAACTGAACAATGCATTGCCGTTGGTATCTGGTATTTTTCATTGTTATATCCGGATTTGGAAACGACCGTTAACTTTTATCACTACTGTCGGAGGTCTTTCCTTTTTCTCGAAGGTGGGTGGGGGGAAGGGGGAGGGGGCAGGGTCGGTAATCTTGGAACTTTAGTCCAGTTTTGGCCCTCTCAGTGTCACGCAGCGCTACGTTCCCCAACGTACCGCTACGTTCCGTGACAGAGAGGGTGAAAACTGGTCTTGGTGTTATTGAAAACGATAGCAAATCGTAACGTTAGTATAATAGGATAACGATTTATCTCAGTTATAAGGTTTTCTTAAATTTTCGGCGATTTCTTAGCTATCAGTTAACATTTCAACCCATTTCTCAGGTATCAATCAATTTTGCAGATCTCAGATCTCACCTGTCAGATAAAAACTGTTCCACTTCTCAGCTTACAGTTAATATAAACATTTGACCAATTCAACTCCATCAAGACCCTCTTAGATTGCTCTTTGTTGTTGTCTTTCCATAGACTTGGTGGCGTGCTGTCACATCTCAAAAAAGCCTACCCTGGTAAGTCGCATAATCCTGACATCGCTGCGTATTGTAAAATGGTATTGGGAATTTGTAGGCCAACGTTGCGCTAATTTTGTTCGGTAAAACACGTTATGGGAGACCTGGGATTGAGAACCAGACCCCTTTGTATGTACTTGCTGCGCTGTCATAATTATTTGGGTGAAAAATTGTAGTGGGACCAAAGTTGAAAACTTTCAGTTCTTTCCAATTCGGAGGATCTAAGGAGTGTGTTGTTTTCCGTCTACTGATCGTTTCCTTTATATTGCATATTAGAATAAATCTACCAGCGTTCTATCACGAATGGCGTTCACTGATTGGCTACGCTACTCATTATCTATTCTGTTTTAGGTAGTGAGTAGCGTAGCAATGAGCGCTTGTTAACAAACTGGCGGCCGCTTCTTTGCGTTTTCGAAGTGTCTGTGAAGAGGATTTGGATAAAGTTTTAAGCAACTAGTAGATTTATTCTAATTAGAAACAATGTTAGATTACTCGCCCTCGATTTCTATGCGCGATAGAAATCTCGAGCTCATAATCTAATTGTTAAATAGGCCATTCTAAGTTAACCTGAGCATTTTAATAACCCCGACATGGGTTTACCTCAAACACTCGATCCGAACTTTCACTCATTAACCTTCAGGGCATCGCGTCTCACTAAATTAACTTTTATACGTAGAGGTTTTACACTCTCTTGAACAGTGTTGTTACAACTTTCATGATTGTCTCTATCACTTTTAATTGACAATTTATTCTCTTGTTAGATGCCATCGAAACATCAGCCAACCGAGTGAAGTCTGGTGAGGCGGACGAACAATCTTTGACTTGCGAAGATCGCAATCTCGAACCCTCATTGGTTGAAATGTTGGATGGCGTCATCATGCTGTACCACATTGCTGTGCACAAGCAGCTATCGAAGGTACGTTCTTGGGTCCGAGTTTCTAAATTTCATCAAATTAGGAGCTAGATCTCGTTTCAAAACCGCAGTTCAAATATATGGTTTTCATATATTCACTTGTATTCTTCACCTTCTACGGGTATATAACAAACTCACAATGTGACCAGCTCCCAGTTGGCTTGATAGCTCATTTGGTAGAGCACTGCACCGGTACCGCAGAGGTCATGGGTTCGAATCCCGTTTAAGCCTGAATTTTTTTCAGGCTTAAATTTGACAACTGCTTACGTTGTGTAAATAACTGCGATGATTAATAATGTCTTCATGAATTAATTTGGCAGTCTACTTTTGAATTCATTACACTATTTAGTGACGGGAAGCTACATCAGCTTAGCTAGTTTTCATGCGGTCCTCTATCCTGGTCGAATTGCAATTTAGAGTGTTGGTTGACTGTTGCAAGCTGCGATGAGTTGATGGGCCAGTATTTCATTCAGGGGTAGGGAAGGGGCGGTTACAATACATGTCATCTAGTTGTGAAGGTCACTATGGGTTATGTGCAAACGTAAAAGTTAATGTTCTCATTTCAGGTGAGAGCGGTCCGGGACAATATGAAACAAAACATCAAAGCTCTGGAAGAAACAATGGGGAAGATCAGACGCTGTGAACCAGAGGTATAAACAACTTTATATCAGTATTAATCCACAAATGATTTCTCTCTCTCTCGTTCATCATTGATTAAGGTGGGCCACGTGGTAACTTTGTACCGAGCGATTAAGAATGACATTGAGTATTTTCTTTCAGAGAACAGACGTGCTAACAGAACTGGAAAGATCTAAGAGAGTATTCATGCAAGAAAGCACGAACTGCGCAAGGCACATGGCTTGGGTTTCCACTCTTATTTTCAC